GTCCCCACCACCATGCCCAGCTAATTTTTGTATGTTTAGTACAGATGAGGTTTCACCATGTTGGCCAGGCTGGTCTCAAACTCCTGACCTCAGGTGATCCACCCACCTCAGCCTCCCAAAGTGCTGGGATTACAAGTGTGAGCCACCACACCTGGCCCCCTTCATTTCTTTGTAGGGCTGAATAAAGTTCCATTGTGTGGATAGACCCATTTTGTTGATCCATTCATTCGTTGATGGACAAGTAGGTTGTTTCTACCTTTTGGCTTTTGAGAATAATGCTGTGAAAAGCTATGAACTTTTGTGTACAAATAAGTGTTTGTACACAGGACTCAAAGTCCCTGTTTCAGCTCATTTGGCTCTATATCCAGGATGTATGCCCTCCTACATACACTTTGTACTTTACACTAATTTCAGGCACAGTTAAAACTAAACTAACTTAAAACTAATTTGTCAGAAAGAATTGCAGAGCAAATACCAAGGTAGATGGCAGCAGGATGATAGATCTGGACAAATGTCTTCTTATTTTTCAGATCCAGAGGCAACAGGGACATGGCCACCTGGGACGAAAAGGTAAATGAATTCTGTGGTCTTGCAGCATTAGAGGATATCCTAACCTTGAGAGGATAATTCTGTTTGGTGTTTCAAACAGGAGAGGGAGAACCACCTGTTTAGATGTTTCCACTATACTGAAATATTTAAAATCACAATGATGAAAAGCTATAAAAGGACTTCACAAAACCTCCAAGTAGCCTGATATTCCACATCAGACCATTTGAATCCCAGGCCTGCATGTTAATAACTATGTGCGTTTTTTGTTTTTTGTTTTTTTTTTTTGTTTTTTTTTGTTTTGAGATGGAGTTTCACCCTTGTTGCCCAGGCTGGAGTGCAATGGTGCGATCTCAGCTCACCGCAACCTCTGTCCCCCAGGTTCAAGTGATTCTCCTGCCTCAGCCTCTCGAGTTGCTGGGATTACAGGCATGCACCACCACACCCGGCTAACTTTGTATTTTTCGTAGAGATGGGGTTTCTCCATGTGGGTCAGGCTGGTCTCGAACTGTGCATGTTAATAACTATGTGTCCTTAGGCACAAAATAACTGTGCCCTGCAATTCCCTGAGCCTCAGTTTCCTTATCTGGAAAATAGTGAAAAGATTATTTGTCACCCCTGCCCTTGAAGGATTGTTGGGAAGATTTGATAATACAATGGTCTCAGAATGTTAGGCAAGTACTGAGCCCATAACAGGGCTTGGGCACAGAGAAGTAAAGTCACTTCTCCAAGATCACACAGCTAGAAAGTGGCAGAAATGGGATTTCACACCAGGCGTGGTGGCTCATGTCTGTAATCCTAGCACTGTGGGAGGCCAAGGTGGGCAAATCACTTGAGGTCAGGAGTTCAAGACGAGCCTGGTCAACATGGCAAAACCCCATCTCTACAAAAATACAAAAATTAGCCAGGCGTGGTGGCATGCACCTGTAATCCCAGCTACTGGAGAGGCTGAGGCAGGAGAATCGCTTGAGCTTAGGAGGCAGAGGCACAGTGGCTCATGCCTGTAATTCCAGCACTTTGGGAGGCCAAGGTAGGTGGATCACCTGAGGTCAGGAATTTGAGACCAGCCTGGCCAACATGGTGAAACCCCATCTCTACTGATAATACAAAAATTAGCCAGGCATCATGACGCACACCTCTAATCCCAGCTGCTTAGGAGGCTGAGGCAGGAGAATCACTTGAACCTGGGAGGCGGAGGCTGCAGTGAGCCAAGATCGCGCCATTGCACTCCATCCTGAGTGACAAGAGCAAAACTCCATCTCCAAAAAAAACAGAAATTGGGATTTCAACCTGGCCTGACTCCAGAGGAAATGCTTTCCTCCTGTATCTTGTGGCCATCTCGAGTAGGAAATAGACTGTTTTTGATATCTGAGGCGCAGGTTTGTTGGATTTGGGGGCATTGGTTGTGAAGATTGGGGGCGAGGTAGAAAGGAAGTGTTGACTTTCACATCAGCTGTTCATCTTGAGGTTCTGGGGGCCTGGCCAGGCCAAGCTGGCAAGGGCAGAGCAGGAAGCTCAGGGCAGCAGCAGGGGTGAGTGGGGCAGTCTGAGAAGCAAATGTGAGGGTCAGAATGACCACAGGATGGCGATGATGGTGATTGTGTGTTTCATCAAATTGATGACCCCGGTAACTGTAAGTTAGGAGCCCCAGGAGCTCCAGGTATCCATAAGAGAGTCAGCATGGAAGAAAGGTTAAGTGGGAACTGTTCATGCTTTTCCTTCATTTGTAGTTCCCTATTAAATTAGGCAAACCAAAAGAACATTCAGAAATGCTTAATGCCGATTAGACTGTGATGAAACCAGCTCACTCATACATAGCACGGGGAACTGGGTTAACCCATGCCACTGTTCTAGACACAAAATTTGACCATGTATATCAAGAATCTTGAAAATTCCCATATTCAAGCCTGGTCATCTCACTTATGGGAAAAGAACCCATAAAAAATAAAAAGTACAATTTATGGCACCATGTTTCTTAGCACATGAGACAACACTGTAGATGCACCTTATTTTATGTACTATGAAGAAAAAAAGCGAAACAAGCATGTGCTGCCATTTACTGTGATTAAAAGTAACACAAGCCTGAAACCGGTCAATTGTCAGGCCCAGCTGGATTTCAGAGACATTAAAATGTGAGAAAACGTGGTCTTAGGATTGGATTAAAAACATCCAAAATGGTTAAAAAAACATGCAAAATGCAATAATGAGACCATTTGGCTCCTTGGTAAGTTTCCTGGTCTCTGAACAGGTGTGAATCTGATGCATATAGTGGTAGAAAATAAGATAGGAAATTGTCTGTTGTCTTTTTTTGTTTTGTTTTTTGAGATAGGGCCTGGTTCTGTCTTCCAGGCTGGAGTGCAGTGGCATGATCTTGGCTCACTGCAACCTCTGCCTCCTGGGTTCAAATGGTTCTTGGGCCTCAGCCACCCTAGTAACTGGAATTACAGGCGTGCACCACCATCCCCAGCTAATTTTTTTGTGTTTTTGGTAGAGACAGGGTTTCTCCATGTTGGCCAGGCTAGTCCCGAACTCCTGGCCTGAAGTAATCCACCTGCCTCAGCCTCCCGAAGTGCTAGAATTACAGGCATGAGCCACCGCACCTGGGCCACTGTCTTTGATTATAATTGTAAAAGATATAGACATGTGGGAGAGAAAGAGGTAGACAGGTAGATGACACATAAGTTTGGTGTGCTGGGATTGTTATGAATTTATTTCCCTTTCTTTTCCTCTTTTCACAATAGTAATACTAAAAGAAATAGATCAAGGCTAAAGATCTGTTCATGGGGTAAAAGGTAGCAGGTCAAACTGGGAGTATGCATTTGAGTCTGGGGGTTCCAAATGAGGCTGGGGGTTGCAGGAACGAGTTGGTGGGGTGAGGGCCTTGTCAGAAGCCCATACCAGGGTATAGGGACAGCAAGGGAAGTAGAGATTGAAATACAGGACCAGGGACACACCTTAGGGAACTCCCAGGGCCTGGAGCCTGGAGCCTGTGTGTCGTCACACAGAGGCTAGCCTGGGAGGGCGTTGTCAGCAGGGCATCGTTGGGGGCTGGGGAAAGGGCCAGGACCACTTGTGGCAAATAAGCCTCTTACTGGTTTGAAGAACATGTTCTTTTTCATGATCTGCCCTTATGGAATTAGTTGTGTTTTGGAAAAAAGTTGTCTTAATGAGATTGCTTTTAGAATTTTTTGAGAGTTAGCTCTCCTAGTTTCTGAGAGCAGAACAGCTGTGTTGGGAGAGAGACTGGTGGGGTTTTGTAGCCATGGTGCAGACCTGGTTTGCAGTTCTGCTGAGATAGGCTCACCGGCCCTCCTCAGAGCCCCTCTCTGCCTGCTTCCACCTCCCAGAGCCTCAGTTTTCCTCTTTTGTAAAATGGGAATGATCACACTACCTCACAGAGTTGAGGTGAGGGTTAAACAAGATTGCATGTGGAAAGCACTTAGCTGGGTGCCTGGCTCCAGCCTGCATTTAAGACATAGGAGCTGCTGGCTCTGTCATGAGGATGAACCGCTTTTCAGCCATCAGCTGACCTTGTTCCTCAGCACAGGTGACTGCACTCAGCAGCCACCTCTGGAGAACTTAAGAGCCAGGTGTGTGTAGAAATCCCTGCAACGACTGGGCTCATTTCGTGTGAGGCATGCAGAAACGCCCGGTTCAGCTGGGATTCCTTACCTCGGCCGCACATCGACCACCCCAGCACCCAGACCACACCCAGATGGGTTGAATTGGAAGCTCTGAGCCCAGGACTCAGGTTTTGGGGTGCCTTAAAGCTGCCAGGTGATTCCAACATGCAGCCTCGCCTGGGTAGCCCCTCCCTGTGCAGAAGGAGGAAAGAGAAATAGCTGAGCTGTGTGTCCTGTGGTTTCCATGGCCAAAGCATCACTAGACATTGGCTCAGGCAACCTAGTCACACGGTGGCAGCTCTACATTTCTACCTGGGTAACTTTTTCCTTTTTCTTTCTACACTTTTGTAAAACAAATTGCACAGTCCCTGCTCCTGGTTGACATGACTGATGTCACAGGCTTGGAGCAGACTCCCTTCTCAGTCATTCCCAGGGAAATAGGCAGAGTGTGTCCCCCTAAAACTGTCTTTAAACTCAACCCATTGGCGGGTCCTGAAATCCATTGAGTGGGCTACAATCAACCTTTTAAGAAATGAAATAGGGCTGGGTGCATTGGCTCACACCTGTAATCCCAGCACTTTGGGAGGCCGAGGCAGGTGGATCACTTGAGGTCAGGAGTTTGAGACCAGCCTGGGTAACATGGAGAAACCCCATCTCTACTAAAAATACAAAAAATTAGCTAGGCATGGTGGTGCACGTCTGTAGTTTCAACTACTTCTGGGGCTGAGGTGGGAGGATCTCTTCAGCCCAGGTGGTTGAGGCTGCAGTGAGTCCTAATCATGCCACTGCCCTCAAGCCTGGGTGGCAGAGTGAGACCCTGTCTCAAAAAAAAAAGAAAAGAAAAGAAAAGTAAATAGAACAAAATGGAAAATAAGATCTCCTCACATAGTAACTTTAGGGCTAGTTATAGAATGTGTGTACACAAGTCAGTGTGTACTGAGAGGCAGGGTATGAAACATGATTTCTTATTGAGAAACACCGCTCCCAACTCCCTGCCTAGCACGAGGCTTTGCCGGCTGTGAGGAAGGTGCAGGGCTGGGCAGTGTTCATGAGGGGTCCTGCAGGAGGAGGGGCGCTGGGCTGGGCAGCCTGGGTTGGAATCCTAGCCTTGCTTCTCACTGGCTGTGTGACCTGGGGCAAGTCACTGGCCTCTCTGTTCTCAGTCTCCTCATCCATAAACAGAGACATTGCAGTCCCTGCCCCATGGGCTTGTTACGGTATGTTAATGAAGGTCTTTGCACAGAGCTCAGAAAATATTAAATAGCAGGTATTCTAGGGATAGTTGCAATGATTACAGTTCCCACTCCTGTAAATATGTCCCATTAGTCTGCATGCAGCCCTGCCATCATCTCACCAGGCTGAGCAGCTCACCTATCAAGGCAGGAGGGTTCCTAACCCTATAGAAAAAGGAGAGAGCTGGGGACCATGGCTTTAGGGGGACCTGGGCCACCAGCTAAACCCCTCAGCCTGTAAGCAGCCCGTCCTGCCAGAGCTGATCAGCTGTCACGGTGGCTGTTTTCATGAACCTCAGACTTCCTCCCCACCCTAGAGAAGGAAAAGTTTCTACACTTATTTAGAGACTTCCCTGATTTTAAAAATAGGCCTTCCTCAGAACACAGATCCCCTGGGGCAGGAGGGGAGAAGTGCTGGGGCAGCTGAGCCTGCTGCCTGGAGTCCTCTTGCCTCCCCACAGAGAAGAGATTTGTTCAGGGGTTTCATTCCAGCTTCCACCATCCAGGAGGTATGTTCAGCAGGAGCCTGCGGTCTGCCAGGCACAGAGGTCATGCTGTAAACAGTTGGGCCACATGAGAGTGTGATGGGAAAGGCCTGGCCGGCTCCTGAGAGCTGGGACGAAGAAGATAGAGGACAGGGTGAGAGGGGGTTGCACATTCTACGCAAAAGAAGTCACGTGTGCAAAGGCCCTGTGGTTGGAGAAACCAGCCAAGTATGAAAGGCTCAAAGGAGACAGTATGGCCAGAGTGGGGAGAGAGGTGAGAGGGAAGGTCAGCTGGGCAGATAGAGGCTACAGCGTGTAAACAGGAGTGAACTTCTGGAAGGCATTGGTGTCTCTCTTTTTTTTTTTTTTTTTTTTTTTTTTAAAGAGACAAGGTCTCGCTCTATCACCCAGGCTGGAGTGCAGTGACGCGATCATAGCTCACTGCAGCCTCGACATTCTGGGCTCAAGTGATCCCCCTCTCTTAGTTTCCCAAGTAACTGGGACTGCAGGCGAGCACCACCACACCTAGTTAACTTTTAGATTTTTTTGTAGAGACGGGGGTCTCACTCTGTTGCCCAGGCTGGTCTTGAACTCCTGAACTCACGGATCCTCCCTCCTCTGCCTCCCAAAGTGCAAGGATTACTGCACTTTGAGTGAGTGACTGCACTCAGCCAAAAGTTTTAAATAAGGGAGTGTGGCAGGGTCCCCGAGACCCTGTGCCCAGCATCAGTGACTCACTAGGAGGACCTGTGGGACTCGCATGCAGATGCGTTCCTGGTGCAGATTAATTACCATGAAAGGATTGAAATTAAAATCAGTAAAGGGAAAAGGCACGTGGGGTGAAGTTCAGAAGAAACCTGGCGCAAGCTTCCAGAGCCCTCTCCTGGGTTGGAGGCAGAGGTCCTAGGAGTCACAATTCCTCCAGCAGAGAATTGTGCTTGTGACATCTTGTGACAAGATGTGTGAAGTGTTTGCTAGCAGAGCAGTTCATTAGAGACCCAATGCCCAGAGTTTTCACTGGAGCTGGGCACAGAGGCACCCTCTGCCTGGCACTTAGAAAAGTTCCAGACTCTCCAAAGGAAAGTAGGAGTTCAGCATAAACCATGCTGTTTCCACAAGCAGTCTAGGCACAGTGAGCTGCTCTTATCAGGGAATGGTGGGAATTTTCCAGAAGTCCATGTTCCCAGATGCCAGTGGAGGCTAGGCAGGCCTGTCTGAGGAAGGCAGCCTCAGGCCTGCTGGGCTGGCCCTTTTCTGCACGGGGAGTGATGTAGTCATGCTTGGAGGGATGCTCTCCTGCAGCTGCTAGAGAATGCAGCAGGGAAGGAGAGAGCAGAGAGGAGCTGCGACAGCCTCCAAGTGAGGTGGGGAGTTGGCCAGGGCAGTGGCAGAGGGTGGGGGAAGTAGGTGGCAGATCAGGGGTCACTTAGTTGCCAAAATGCACCAGGCTTAGTGCTGGATAGGGCTATAGAGGAGGGTGAGTGAAGCTAGGACAGGGGACAACTGCCCTGGCCCTGCCTGGGTGGCGTTAAGACCCTGGACCAGGAAGCAGCACACCTGGCTGCAAGTCTATGGACTGTCCACTGACAGGTGGTGGTTACCGTGTTGCAGGCCTCAGTTTGCTCCTCTGCTAAGGGAGGTAAGACTGTATCTCAGAACCTTGATCCCATCTCTTATTTATTTTATTGTTATTATTATTGAGATAGAATCTTGCTCTATTGTCCTGGCTGGAGTGCAATGGCTTGATCTTGGCTCACTGCAACCTCCATCCCCCAGGTTCAAGCGATTCTCATGCCTCAGCCTCCCAAGTAGCTGGGATTATAGGCATGCACCACCCCCACCCCCACCTAATTTTTGTATTTTTAGTAGAGATAGAGTTTCACCATGTTGGCCAGGCTGGTCTTGAACTCCTGGGCTCAAGCCAGCCACCTGCCTCAGCCTCCCAAAGTGCTGAGATTACAGGCATGAGTCACCACTCCCAGTCCCATCTCTTAAAATATCATTTTTGTTACTTAAAAAAAAAAATCTACTTTTCTGCCATTTTTTTCTCCGTGTTGGCAGAGGAAAGAACAAAGCTGGTGAACTTGAGTTCCTGTGCGGGCTTCATCACTTACTTATGATTTTATGTTTTTTTGTTTTTTTGTTTATTTTGAGGTGGAGTCTTGCCCTGTCACCCAGGCTGGAGTGCAGTGGCGCAATCTTGGCTCACTGCAACCTCTGCCTCCCAGGTTTGAGTGATTCCTCTGCCTCAGACTCCCAAGTAGCTGGGACTACAGGCACGTGCCACCACGCCTGGCTAATTTTTGTATTTTTAGTAGAGATGGGGTTTCCCCATGTTGGCCAGGCTGGTCCTGAACTCCTGACCTCAGGTGATCCACCAACCTTAGCCTCCCAAAGCGCTGGGATTACAGGTATGAGCTACTGCACCCAGCCTTGTATTTGTTTTTTAACAACTCTACATGAACATATGTATAGCATAATAAAACAGCAAACAGGTATATATTAGTTGAATCATATGAAATTGTGCATTTCTTCTAGTTTTTATCTACAACGATGGCATTTTTTTTTTTTTTTTTTTTTTTGAGACAGAGTCTTGCTCTGTCACCCGGGCTGGAGTGCAGTGGCCGAATGTCAGCTCACTGCAAGCTCCGCCTCCCAGGTTTACGCCATTCTCTTGCCTCAGCCTCCCGAGTAGCTGGGACTACAGGCGCCCACCACCTCACCCGGCTAATTTTTTGTATTTTTAGTAGAGACGGGGTTTCACCGTGTTAGCCAGGATGGTCTCGATCTCCTGACCTTGTGATCCGCCCATCTCGGCCTCCCAAAGTGCTGGGATTACAGGCTTGAGCCACCGCGCCCGGCCAACGATGGCATTTTTAAGTCCTCTTTTATATCAGAAAAGTTTTCTTGAATTATATCTTTGTTCTAGCCTATTAATCTAATTTCCTTATTCAGGGATTCCAGTTATGAGTATATTGGTTCCTTCTCTTCCCACCCCCACTAAATACTTCATTCACCACTTAACTCCCTGCAGGCTGGATCTCACTCCAAAAATGGCAGTTTCTTAGGGATAAACGTTGTATTTGTTTTCATGCTGCTGATAAAAACATACCTGAGACTGGAAAGAAAAAGAGGTTTAATTGAACTTATAGTTCCACATGGCTGGCAAGGTCTCAGAATCATGGCGGGAGACAAAAGGCACTTACATGGTGGCAGCAATGATGAGAGAGAAGCAAAAGCAGAAACCCTGATAAACCCATCAGATCTTGTGAGACTTATTCTCTATCAAAAGAATAGCGTGGGAAAGATTGGCCCCCATGATTCTATTACCTCCCCCTGGGTCCCTCCCACAACACATGGGAATTCTGGAAGATACAATTCAAGTTGAGATTTGGGTGGGGACATAGCCAAACTACCTCATTCTGCCCCTGACCCCTCCAAATCTCATGTCCTCACATTTTGAAACCAATCATGCCTTCCTAACAGTCCCCCAAAGTCTTAACTCATTTCAGCATTAACCCAAAAGTCCACAGTCCAAAATCTCATCTGAGACAAGGCAAGTCCTTTTGCCTATGAGCCTGTAAAAATCAAAAGCAAGCTAGTTACTTCCTAGATGCAATGGGGGTACAGGTATTGAGTAAATACAGCTGTTCCTAATGGGAGAAATTGGCCAAAACAAAGGAGGTACAAGGTCCATGCAAGTTTGAAATCCAGCAGGGCAGTCAAATTCTAAGGCTTCAAAATGATCTCCTTTGACTCCATGTCTCACATCCAGGTCAGGCTGATGCAAGAAGTAGGTTCCCATAGTCTTGGGCAGCCCTGCCCCTGTGGTTTTGCAGGTTATAACCCACCTTCTGGCTGCTTTCATGGGCTGAGGTTGAGTGTCTGCGACTTTTCCAGGTACATGGTGCAAGCTATTGGTGGATCTACAATTCTGGGGTCTGGAGGACTGTGGCCCTCTTCTCTCACAACTCTACTAGGTGATGCCCCAGAAGGTGCTCCCACCCCACATGTCCCTTCCGCGCTGCCCTAGCAGAGGCTCTCCATGAGGGCCCTGCCCCTGCAGCAAATTTTTGGCTGGGCATCCAGCGTTTCCAAACATCTTCTGAAATCTAGGCAGAGGTTTCCAACCTCAATTCTTGACTTCTGTGCATCTGCAGGCTCACCAGCACGTGGAAGCTGCCAAAGCCTGGGGCTTCCACCCTCTGAAGCCACAGCCTGAGCTGTACGTTGACCCCTTTCAGCTATAGCTGGAGCAGCTGGACACAGGGCACCAAGTCCCTAGGCCCATGAAACCATTTTTTCTCCTGGGCCTCTGGGCCTGTGATGGGAAGGGCCACTGTGAAGGTCTCTGACGTGGCCTGGAGACTTTTTCCCAAGGTCCTGGTGGTTAACATTAGTCTCCCTGCTACTTATGCAAATTTCTGTAGCTGGCTTGAATTTCTCCTCAGAAAATGGGTTTTTCTTTTCTATCACATCATCAGGTTGCAAATTTTCCAAACTTTTATGCTTTGCTTCCCTTATGCAACTGAATGCCTTTAATAGCAGGCATTGAATGCTTTGCTGCTTAGAAATTTCTTCTGCCAGATACCCGAAATCATCTTTCTCAAGTTCAAAGCTCCACAAATCTCTATGGCAGGGGCAAAATGCTGCCAGCTCTTTGCTAAAACATACCAAAAGTCACCTTTACTCCAGTTGCCAAAAAGTTTATCATCTCCACCTGAGACTACCTCAGCCTGGACCTTATTGTCCAGATCACTATCAGCGTTTTGGGCAAAGTCATTTACGAGTCTCCAGGAAGTTCCACACTTTCCCACATTTTCCTGTCATCTTCTGAGCCCTCCAAACTATTCCAACCTCTGCCTGATACCCAGTTCCAAAGTTGGTTCCACATTTTCGGATATCTTTTCAGCAATGTCCCACTCTACTGGTACCAATTTACTGTATTAGTTTTCACACTGCTGATAAAGACATACCTGAGACTAGGAAGAAAGAGGTTTAATTGGACTTACAGTTCCACATGG